CTTGTTTGGCCCAATTTAAGTACAGGTTGCATGGTATCAAGTTCAACAAAGACATTAGAACCTCTGGGAAGTGATGATTAACAAAAGTTAATATGTCTCTCTTCAAGGAAGAAACACTGAAGCTTGTGCAGTGATGGGAAGAGTGTGTGAATACTCCAGGGAGACCAGGTGGAAAAGTATACATGTATATACTTTTGTTTATACAATACATTTTTTCTCATTACTTCAGCAGTGCCCCTTGTATAATAGAAAAACTGCCCAGAAGTGTTGTCATTTTTAAGAAATCTGTATCCATTGATGAGTGACCTTGTTCAAAATCAAATTCCCAACAGCATGCTTGCCATGCAAGGGTAAAAATGGATGGCTTATGTGCAAATGGTCTTATATACTGTAAGTGAGGAGACTTGCTGTTCCCAAGAAAGCTGGCTCATTATTCAATATAAGAAGTGTTTCTTTTCACTTCTGAAAATTTTAAAATTCCAAACCCAAAAATTCAATTGGGAAAGCTGGCAACAGATCCAACTATTTTTTTATATTTTATGCTGACTCATTTGCACCTTTATTTATTATATGGTTTCAAAATTTTCAATTGCACCTTATTTCACATTTCCCCCCAAATTTGTCCAATTTTCAGCTTCAAAAACTATTTAATTTCAGATATTCTTTCAGAAAGCTATATCTTTATTTTACTGTTACTATTTTTATGTTATCAAGTCTTCATTCTCTGAGAGCTGGGCTGCTTTTGATGGAAGAAGTTCAATGAATGAAGAGAAAAATTAGAGTAATTGAAATCTAATGAAGTATCTCTTAATCTTGGCAGGGTTCCATGGTACACCCAAAGGAATTTCCTTTCGTATGTTGCCCAATCCCCATTGAGGAGGTGGTGTACCAGAGGTCACCCAAAATCGTTACCACCCTGGAAGTTCTTGAGTTCCCATGGTCATCTGTTACCAGGGCAGCATTTAAGTTATTGTAGGTGTATTGCTTTTTTTTGTTGTTGAAGTGATTGTTTGTTTGGATCTCAAGCCTGAGTCAATTCTGAGTGTGTAATTTATTTGGATCTGTTAGCTCTTGCTGAGAGAAGTTGGTTGTATCATGTACCTATCAGAAATCCTCCACCTTTGAAGGTTATGAGAAACTGGTTAATCCTTAATTTAAACTAGTTTAAATCAAGGGGTTTTCGAGTACCCTTAAAGTATGGGTGGGAATGGTGCTTTTTTTCTCCTAACAAGCAGGAGGACCAATGAAACTCTTGCCTCTCAGAGCCCTTGCTTCTCAGGAGAAAAGTACTGAACATGCTCATGTTGTGGCCACTCTGTTTCATGAAATCATTTGATTAACACGTTGACGACCAGCCTATTTTTGCTTGTCCGCCGCGTGGGACCACTTTCACTAAAATCGGCCTTATAACTACAAAACTAACAAGCTTTACCTTAGAAGATGAGTCTTTCATGTTCACTTGAATAAAATATTCACCATAAGAGATCTGCATGGACCACGGCAATCATAGATACTACAGAGCCTGATGATCAATATGTGATCGCTAGATACTCGATATCTGTGCACAAGACGTTTTTTGGAACCTGCATCCTGCCATCAGGACGCATTGTCGCCAACGTGTTAATAGTTGCAGTTACCAATTCCTAGAGTTTTTGGAGTGTCCTGGAGAAAAGTTTTCTTGAACTTCATGAGAGTTGCAGAAGAGCTTATGGTGCTGGTTAGTACTAGACTAGGATTGGCAGAATGTTTTGTCACCCCCACCCAGGGCTGGATTAAATGGGGGCAAAGGGGGCTGTTGCCCCAAGAGAAATTAAAAACGTTAAGTATTTGTGTCAAGTAGCAAATGTTACAAATCAATATTTGCACCACCAGCACTTGACTGTGTCGCTACTCTGGTCTACTTGCACCACCAGGTAAAATGTCTTGGAGCGAGCCCCAAGAATCCACTTTCTCTGGACCTTGCAACTTCTTAATCCAGCCCTGCCCCTACCATAATTGGAAAATGATGACAGATGTATGAAGAATTCTTGGATTTCTTGTTTCCCACTTCTGATACATGAGTGGCCTTAAATTCAAAGGTGGAAAGGTACAGTAGCAGCCAAAGGTAGAAACAACAAGTCCTCCCTGTGATGAACTGTTACTTTCATTCCCAGTGACAAAAATTGAATTGAAGTTTTCAATAAAGTAACTTTTGGTCAGCTCTGACTTGGTTTTTGCCCAATGGACCAGTTATGAAGTTGTTTCTTATGTCTTTGAGAAGCACAAGGTGAAAAAGTGTTGTGTTTTTAAATCTCAACTTGAGCAGCAGCAACAGCTGGGGGAAGGCTACCATGGGTGATGAAATCTGCCCAAGGCAGATTGATGGCAGATTTTGGGAAACCAAGGCCTTGGGCCTTGGTTTCCCTAAATCCTATCCATGAGACTATTAAATGCCTATGTTTTGTGCAATGTGTGTAAAGCTGAAACAAGAGACAAGAAAGATGTTCACAATGGCTTTAGGTAATGATTTTCCGATATCCATAAAAACTGGTTCTCGAAAGGGGCAACTTGCTGGATGAATTTTGCTGCTGGGAGAGCTGATTCCTAATGGGAGGAACGATTTACTATGTTCCTAGTATTTCAAATTTAAAAACACTTTTGCATAGCACATACTAGTTTGGATGGAGACCTAGTTATCCTAGTATAAAAACTCTCTGCAGTGAACGTGCTGAAACACTTCACAAGTGTTGACATTGTTTTGGAACCATTCACTTCATAATTTAAAAAAACCACAAGGAACTTAGAATTAATGCTTCAACTTCAGCATGTCAGGCCAAAAAAAATAATTATACTCAAGATTTTTCTTTTTTATCTGCAGCATGTAAATCACATGGCAGTACTCATTCTCACAACGCAGACTACTCGCAGTTTGCATCTATACCTGTGTTCACTCTTTCCTTCTGGCCTCCTCTACAGACTAGGAACACCACCACCTCCAACCCTTATCAAAGCCTGTCATTTCTACATTTTATGACACAATTTAGCATATTTTATAGTATACATGTTTTGGTGATTCAAGTTTTCCCCCTAACCAAGCAGCATCTTGACAATATATCTGAATATTGGAGGTGTTAAAATGACCGGGACCCCTGCAGGGTACAAAGACGCACATCATGTCGGGTGGAAGCCAGACTTCGTGCAATGACAACACAGGTTAAGAAGGGATTCATGCACTTCATTCTTCAAAAGATGACTCTAACAACTGAGACTCCAGATGAACAAGCACAGAGCAAGGAAGCCTGGAGGTCCAAATACCCATCACAAACGGGAGGAAAGGGATGCGAAAATCTCAATCACCATGGCACAAATGTAAACGCAGCAATCCTGATTTTTTCAAATAAAAGCAAGGAAAGGAGGAAACAAAGATTTGAATCAAAAGCTGCTTAAAATACAAATTTCACGACACCATCATTCTGAAAATAAGCAATCATGAGGAGGAGTGGAATGCAAATGACACAATTTTAAGGACTTAAACCAATGATATAGAAAAAAATGATCATACATAAAAAAGTATGCTTAGTATACAGACAATGTACTGGAGTCATGCAAGTTGTCTTTAAAGCAGTTCATGTTCTCATTTGCTTGAGAACCACAATATGAGGACAGAAACACTGTCCAACTCCTTATTTCTGGTGCCATTCATCCAAGAGAGAGAGCAAGAGTGGCAGCAGATGTTGACCGCCCGAAGTCCCAGGGGATTCATGCCAAGTGGACTGAAACTCAGGCTTTTGAGAATTTCAAATAAAACAAATGCTTTATAATAATAATAAAGTCTGCATCATAAAAAGTGGAAGAGAGAAAAGTCAATGAGTCAGCTTAAAAACAGATGTTCATCAAAGCCTCTCTTTCAGAATGGACAAAATGAACAAAACCTATTGGAATTTTGATCACCCTGGTGAAACTTATCAGTGCATAGTAATCCAGCTTCTTCATTTGTCTATTTTCAATGAGGCACTTGAGAAAAATGCAGTCCTTCATTTTGCTCATCAATATTCACTTCAATTCAAATCACCAACTCATTTCCTTATGAAATATTTCTCTCATCCAGAAATGTAAGTAGTTAACACCTGCATTAACTGGAAGACAAATTACTCAACCTAATCATTTTGACAGAGCTTTTATGCCAGGCAAAACAGTGCTTCCTGCTGTTATTGAAGTCAAGGTTGTCTTCAAAGCAGGCCGTACTCACCATTCCCAGTTATGTGAAAGTAGAGAGCAATCAGAAAAGGAGAGAGGTCACACAGGGATTGGGAAGAGGCAAAGAAGTTGAGTGCCTCAAAATCAAATTTTTGTGTGTCCTATTTGTGCTTTGAAATCTGATGTCCCATGATTTCAGTTTTGCAACAGACCTTACAGGAAATCAGATGCCAAGAGTGAACAACACATAAGAGAAAATAAAAAATACACACTTTTTACAAATTACACAGCTACAGAATGATAGAAGGGAAAATCTGTATGCAGACATCTGTACATTCAAGGTTTCACCAAGCATTGATTTGTGAGCTTATCTAGAAGCCATGACATTAGCAGTCCTGTCATTTACCACATGCAGTTCAACCAAACCACCGAATCAATCATACAAACAGACCATGAGCTCACACATAATGTGAAGTCCAGCTCTCTTGGCTGGAAAAAGGTTTGTGCATTGGCACAGACCATAACAGAACTTTGAAATTTACAAAATGCATATCAGCAACTCCAGGTACTGTAACATTCCAATTCAGCTTGCATTTGTTTGAACCCCCCATGTCCTCCTGCAGGATGCAAGGAAACACATAAATCGATGATGCAGGCATCATTATAAGACTTTGTACTCTTGAGGCTATTAAGGGTAGTAAAACACTAGGCCTTGGCCTAGTGTTTGGCCTATAATATTGGCAAGGCCCAAACTGAAGCAGTTTGTCAATGCATGACAGAGCAGCAGTTCCTCACTTCACCAGAGACTGAGAAACTAAGCGTCAGGGGGGGGATTGAGATTAAGGATGATTCTTGCGGGTTCTTGTTACACGCTTTGGTGGAGACTTCACTGGAGACTTTGACTGTACAGGTTTTCCTCCCCTAGAACAGAAAAAGCATATTGCTTTCATTAGAGAAGAAATAAAATATTAATATCAAGCATTCATGAGCAGCCAAATTAGAAGCATGCATGATATTTACTCATTTAAACTCTTCACTTTAACATATCACAAACTGATACACACAGCAGAAGTTATATTTATTTGTGGAGGTAGAGGGGTAATGGATGGATAATGGAGGGTAATAGAGTTCTCTTGATAGCCTATCAGAAAATTTAGTTCTGCTAATTTTTTTGTTTCATGAAATATTCCTCATAACTAAAAGCCTATAATTTACTTTATCCCTAGATTGTTAATGTAGGATAAAAGTATTGTTATCACTATCTTGGGGTCTGGAAAATCCCTCTTATGAAAAGGGCTTTTATTTTATTTTAATTTTAAAATTATGTTTAGGTTTAAACTTTTATTTCTTGTTAACCTCAAGTGCATCCTATGCAAACATTTCCTCTGTGCTGCTGGCAAATACGAGGGCCATTCAATAAGTTATCTACCTGAATATGAAAGGGATGAGCAACAGGCCTGTGGGACGACACTGTACAGAGCTGTCCAGAGCACTCACGGGGTGGTGATATGGTCGAGTCACCGAGAAGTCCGTTCGAAGTGGTAGCACATTAGATTTCTTTGCCTGAGTCTGTGTCATGGATTTGACGAGAGTTGAACATCGTTCAGTGATGAAATTCCTCACCAAAGAAGGGAAAGCACTTAAGGAGATTCATGAACGTATGTCTAACGTTTATAGTGTGTCTTTGCCTTCTTATTACCAAGTTAAATTTTGGAGCAAGCAGTTTAAGTGGGGAAGAGTCAATCGAAGATGACCCAAAGTCGGGGCGCCCTGTGGAGGCTTCTGATCAGGAAACGTGTGACAAATTGGAGAGTGCGATACTGGAGGATCGTCGCACCAAAGTCTCTGTTTTAGCTCATGAACTGGGGATTTCAGAGGGTACAGTGATTCACTTGACATGTCTCGACAGGTCTCGTGAGTGCCCCACCACTATACCAGCTCAGTGGCTCAAGTCCGTTCGAAGTGGTAGCGCATTAGATTTCTTTGCCTGAGTCTATGTCATGTATTTGACGAGAGTTGAACATCGTTCAGTGATCAAATTCCTCACCAAAGAAGGGAAAGCACCTAAGGAGATTCATGAACGTATGTCTAACGTTTATAGTGTGTCTTTGCCTTCTTATTACCAAGTTAAATATTGGAGCAAGCAGTTTAAGTGGGGAAGACCCAAGGTCGGAGCGCCCTGTGGAGGCTTCTGACCAGGAAACATGTGACAAATTGGAGAGTGCGATACTGGAGGATCGTCGCACCAAAGTCTCTGTTTTAGCTCATGAACTGGAGATTTCAGACGTGAGGCGTAACGATAAGAGATTTTTGCAAAATCTGTTCCCCATTCCGAACCCGTGGTAGCATCATCAAGAATTTGATATCAGTGTTTAGAATAGAATCTAAGGAAGAAAACGAGACTAATTTCAACTTTCTGCGTGGAACGATGCCGGAGATAAAAACCTCTTGCATCTCTGGGAAAGGAGGAGCAGATGCGTTCACAGTTCCTTTTTCAACGTTCGACCGCGATTCATTGCAGCTACACCGAATCCACGCCGACACGGCGTGGTTGTACGAAGACGAGAGTGCGAAAGTGCTCGTTACGTCCCTGATAATGTAACATATGAAGCCGAAACGAGCGAGGACCATTTCGTGTACCCTGCATCCGCGCATTCGTCGAGAATAATCTCTGCCCTCTGTTCGTGTGAGCTGTTTTCGTAGTCACTCGCTGTTTCCCATGTAATATTAGCGTCCTCCTGATCGAAGCTTGTCGACTTACCGTCCCATTCAAATGCTAGTTAAAAGGTGACTACATTGAAAAATAAAGTGTTATTTTTCCCCTCGGATGTTTCTTTCTTATTCAGGTAGATAACTTATTGAGTGACCCTCGTAGTGAAGTTGCAGCTACTGCCCATTTAAATGTTGTTCCCAAATGTTACAGTGCTTGGGGTTTGGTGGACTGAGTGTTAGAATTGTATTAGGTATAGTTGTATTAGATTATCTTCCTGGTTCACAGCCTTTAGACTTACTTTTGACAAATTTATACCCAAAATTCCCCAATTTGTCAAGTATTCCTCAGGATATAATTCAGCAATAACCACAAACACATTTCCTTCCATTAGAGCCTCTGAGCACAACCAAACCATTTTCTCCAGAGCTGGCCTTTAGGAAAATAATATTTTAACATACAGTCAGGGAATGAAATGTTAACTCCAAATGCATGTGACATTTTATCCTCAACTTCCAAGACTCCTTGTAAGTGTAAATGAGACCTCTCTGAATGACAAAACCAACAACACATCCTTTTTCCACTTGAAAAGTTGTGCATTATGTGCACAATTTTTCTCTTTCAAACATAACAGAAAGTGGAATTTCTGTACATGTTTTGATAATATTTGGAGAAAATATGGAGACAGGCTTCATCCAAGAAATAACAATTTTTCATTCTCCTCCACTTTTCTTCAAGAGAAAAATATCAAACTATTGTCTTGGTCAATATGACAAAAATTGAAACAATTCTCATCAATGGCATTTCATGAATATTTTGCTGCCAAAAACAAAATATCTTCTTGTATACTAATTGTAATACCTATAAACAAATTCATATTACACTGTGGCTGCCTTCATGCAATGCTTGAGGAGCCACTTTTCACTTTCATGCAGAGAGTAGGTGGAGGAGTTTCTCCATACCGTGTAGGTAAAGGGGAGGAAAAATGTACTTGCCTGCCACCTGTCCTTGTTTTTAATGGCATCTGGACAGTGGGTGATACCCTGGACCTGTCAAATTGTATTCCAATGGAAACAAGCTTCATCCCCTAAGCCATCCCACTAATTAGAAGGATAATGTATTATGACCATGAACTTACAGCTTTTCTTCTGCCTTCCCCCTGCCTCGATGAGTGGCAGCTTTGCCCTGCTGTTGGAGGGAAGATTTATCTTCTTCTGGCACCTGACCAGCTTTGCGAGCCCTGACGGTCCTTCCCTTTTGTGCTTTTGGAGGAGAGCTTGGAACCTCTTCTTTGGCAATTTTGTTTTTAATTGAGAATACCTCATCATCTCCTTCACCACTTGCAGTCTTCTGCTTTCTCTTTCTTGTAGCCTTTTTACCCTTCTGGGGTTGTGAAGTATCAGTAGATTCTTCCTTGCTGTCCAAAGATACAGAAGCAGCTTTGCCTCTTCTGGATTTTTGTTTCCCTGCTGATTGGGCTGCTTCATCATTGACAGTCTCAGAAACAACAGCTTTGCCTCTCCGGGATTGTTGCCTCCCTGCCAAAGGGGGGGCTACATCAACAGAAATAACAGCTTTGCCTCTACGAGATTGTTGCTTCCCTGCTGAAGGGGCACCATCATTACCAACATCAGAAGCAGCAGGCTTGCCTTTCTTCTGTCTGGTGCTTTTCGTTTCTTGATTTGAAATTGATGCATCTGTTGATTCCTTTAGTGTTTTGTTTCTGGTCAATGTTGGGGCTCCCTTACCAGTTTCTGATGGCTCTTGAACAGTAGCACTAACTGCTTTCCCTCTAGTTGTACCCCCTCTCTTGGAAGGCTTTGATTTAGGAGATTCAGAAACAGAGGGTTTGCTTTGTGCAGTCTTTGTTTCATGCATTTCTGACACTTCAGTTACTTTCTTCTGCCTTGTTTTCTTTACCTGGCTTGACTCTGCTTCTGCATTATCTGCTGTGTCAGAGGTTTTCACTTGACCTCTCTTACCTCTTGCTCTTGTTTTCTCCTGCATTGGGGCAACCAACAATGCATCTGCAGATGCTGCTCGAACTGGTCTTCTGCCTCTGGTCAAAGTTGGAACTTCCTTTCCAGCATCAGATGATTCTGTAACAATGGCGTCAACTGTTTTCCCTCTTGTTTTTCTTATTCTCTCAGGGGGCTTAGAGACAGGAGGGAGTTCAATAATTTTGGCCATTTTACTTTCTTTCATTTCTGCTAGAGGTGATTCTGAAGCATCAGCAGCTTTCTTTGGGCTTGTTCTCTTTGCCCGGCTTGACCCCACCCTTGTGATTTCTGCAGGGGCCGAGGCATTTGCTCGACTCCTCTTCCCACGTGTATTTTTGGTACCCTGGGTTGAAGTAGGATGTAGGATGTGTTGAGATTCCAGTGACAAGCTTCCATCAGCTGCTTTAGCTCTTGTTCTTCTACCTCCCTTCTTGGGTTCAGACACTGGGGAGGGTTCAGGGGCCTTGCCTCTCCTCCCTCTTGCTTTCTTCGGTTCACTGGATCCTGGATTTGGCTGTGGGGTGACAAGTTTAGCCTCTTCAGCTCCTCTACTTCTCTTAGCAGAACCTCTCATATCATCCTCCTCTGAGGGTGATGCTTCCTTCACCCTTTTCCTGGAAGGAAAGATTCCACACCAATATCAGAAAAGCCCTGTGTTTATAACCTTTCTCCAGTTGTGTTTCTGACATATATATTAGATTTGTATTTATGTCTTTGAATGAATGAATATGTGCCTCTGATGCTAAGAAATTCTTTTTATGTGAGGCCACAAGAAAAAAGAAAGAACAGAAAGAGAACTTCAATATTGAGCTGGAATATGCCTGTAAGAGGACTGGATCTGGGAGGGAAACCTCACAAACTAAAGGGGGACTGAGAGATGGAATTGAGACCAAGAAATGAAAGGTCCCATCTTGAAATTAAGATGCATCCAAATAACATTGGGAATCCTGAAATTCTGATACCCCAAAATAAATATTAATGGAATGGTTCAATTGCTATAGTGGGCTAATAAAGGAGCATCAGAATTGTTGCTGATGCTATGAAGACATTCATTGAAACAATCAGATGCCTGCAACTTTCTCGGATGGAGAATTGAGAAGAGCAGAGTGCAAGAATTGATGCAGACAACATACTAAGTTAAGGGCTGAACAATAATGATGCTTCCTTAGCATCAATGATGCTGAACATAGAAAGAAATGGCAAGTGGGACATCAGAGATGAAAAAAAGGGAACAGAAGGAACAGTCAGGATGGAACTGCAATGTTTCTCCAAGGTTTCCTTCCTCTAAAAAGCAAGAAGTCATGATGAAAAATTTAGTATCAGAGCCAGATTGAAGTTTCGAATTTGGACTTGATTTCAGCTATCTCACTAGCAAATGGAAATCGATGAAAGATAATGCAGTCATCATAAGCTTTTCCAAAAGAGGCCAGCTGATTAGGTTGGCAGGCATCCTCACCAGAAGAGAGGAATGTCTTCAAAATGGCAGTTGCAGCAACTTTAGTGGCTGAGACAAGGATATCAGACCAAGAGAAAAAGACAAAAGGGCAATAAATAATCTCATGAGATATGAGGCTGTTCCTGCCACAAATAAATAACTGTAAAAGTTGATGGAAGCTGGTATGAATGAATTCAAGATGGAGTCTGAACAGTATGCACCTCTGCACCAGGATCAGCAAAGTCAGAAGCAGCATATCAACATAGGCTACTTGGAAAGTATCAGTGAGGTCATCTGCTGCAGAGTACTAAACATGTAATCAAGTCTGTTGGCAGGAAACTTTGCAATTTTCATGAACTTGAATTCACCCATAGGAGCTGTCATGGGGACACATTTGAGGCACTTTTTGAGAAGAAACTTTTCAGCAAGAAGATATAACCAGAGTAGGAAGAACTCTGATGATTAGCTTGTCATGAGAAGACAGACTAGCTGGCTCAAGCAATACTACTAACCTTCTCTACAAAGAAAACACATTTCTGATACTTCTGATGCAAGAAATTAATGCTCAGTTCATGAAAACATCAAATTATCATGATATAAGGAAATAGAATAACATTGATATCCCACCTGAGAGGCTTTCGTATTAGTTCTGCAACCTCATCTACAACTTGACTGCTTCGCCTTGATGTGTTCTCCCTAGGAGTCTTCATCCAAGTCCTTATCCCACTGAGGTCTGGAGACTGCCCAAAAGCCTGAGATTCCTTAACTTTATCAACCTGTAGCCCTGTCCTTGGAGAGCGCATGAGAGCTTCAATTCCTTCCACATTACTATAATCTACAGGAGGGGTCCTCTGTTGGGTCATCAGCCTTCGAATACCCTGAACATCGGAGTAGTCACTTTTGGGTGACTTCTGCAACTTGGGGGAGCCCATCAATTTCTTCACTCCCCCTACTTGGCTATAACCTGGTTTTGGAGAACCTTTTCCAAAGTGTTTCAGGTGCCTCACTGCCCCAACATATGTATCATAATCTGCAAGAGGTGATTTGTTGTCATTCCTCATCAGTCTTCCAATGCCATCAACATAGCTTGAGTAATCTGCCTCAGGACTTCGTTGAAACAGTTTCTTCACACCACTGATTCGGGCAGATTTTTTGCGCTTCACAGATTTGGTCTTCTTCACACTGCTAGGTCCCCCAGACTTCAATTCAAATATTCGTGGGTTGACTGGTTTTTCCCATGTGTGCATGCTGACAGTTTGTTTTTTTGAACTGGAGAGAACCTTTGGCGTCAATGTCTTCCTTCTTTCAACAGATCTTCTGCTTTTATATGGTGAGGATTGAGATGAGACATTAATAGGTGAGACAAAGATATCAGTAGTGATATTTGGGCTTTCTGCAGCAGAAAAATCAAATGTTGTAGCATCTCCAGAGGATGGAGTTTTTGCAAATGATCTTGAAGCAGGAGTCAGTTCTACACTACCCCTAGAGCTGCTTTGGGGAATAAGCGTGATGGTGGAATTTCGTGTCTTCTGTTTGAGCTGCTTGACAGAGGATCTCCTTGCTAAGACAAGAGACTTGGATCTTGAGTGACTCTTGCCTCTGACTCCTTGCAAGGCAGACTTTATATTAGGTGTACCCATCTTGGCTGGACTCTCCCTTCTGCAAAATTAAAGACATAACTTCAAAAATAAATATGAACAGTCAAGAGATTATATAGCATAGCAGATAATACTTATCATTCCATGGTACAATTTTCTGGATTAGATGGCAGTGTCTTTCTTTTTAAATGCAACAATGGCAGCTGCAGTGAAGTTATTATAATTGACAAGGAAATCTGTTAGTTTTTGAGACAAAATGATGGAACATAGTACCATTGTCACAATCCTACTTGATATATATAGATATTGATGACAAAACTATATACTACCGTCTGGATGCTGGTGTAGACATCTTGGGAGAAGGTGTAGGAGCTACAGGAAAAGTTCCTGACAGCTCCAAGCTCTCCATTCCCTAGAAGAAAATGCCCAGTAATATCAATAATGGTTCCAAGCATAAGTTAGTAAGCTATATTCATCCAAATTTTGGCATAGGATAACTTCAAATTGGAAATAATCATGCCATCTTCCTCACAAGAACTAAATTTCTTGCAGGAAAAGTAGCATATTGATTCTGAGGAACCAGAACTGTGGACATGGTAACCCAGAGTCACATGCAGGGGATGCTAAGTCAGAGTTGAGTTGCAGACCAAGAGCAGAGCAGAGCCTTGAAAGCCTGGAGACAAGTGAGGCTGCTGATTCCCCAAGAAGAAATGAAATGCAGTGCTCATACCCATGCCTTTTTTTCACTGTTAATAACTTCAATGAAATTCCCATTCAAATCCATGAGAATATTTGCCCTCCCCCAGGTCACATTTGAAAGAAGAAACTACTGGGAATGAGGGATCTGGTGATTCTCACCATGGATTTCTTTTGTCCTTTTCTTGTAGAACATGGTGTGCTGGACTGACTCTTTTTCATACTTGCTGATTCCACTACCATGATACTAGATTTCCTCAGTCCTTTCTTTGCAGATTGTGGTGTACCAGACTGGCTCTTCCCAGACACCAGTGGTTCCCTCACCGGGTTGCTGGTGCTCTTTTGTCTTCTTATAGAATGAGGAGTACTAGACTGCTTCTTCCTGGTATCCACTCTTCCAATGACAATGTCAGGTGGAGAGAGGGCATGGCCTGTGGAGCCAACAGCACCATGCCTGGTTGTCTTCTTCTTCTATAAAGAGAAAGCAAGTAATTTATCAAACATTGTACCCAGCAAAGTAGCACTGGGAAGTACAGAAAAAAAAATTTAAAAACACTGACCCCGAAGGAAATACATGAAAACAAGTGCTGGACATGCCAAACCTGTAGCCACAACATATGCATGGCATTACATTGCAGATCTAGCTGCCATGCCTCCAAGTGGAGATGGAATTGTAATATATGTTGGCGACATTGGATTCATGTCTACCACTGGACAGAACCAAACACAAACAAGTATGACCAACAACAATACGTCATCTTTTTTTCTGATAGAGCCAAGGCTGAGCATGGACCATGATCTGAATCAAACCTATGCACAAGGGTTGTTTTAGCACTTACAGCAATAGCTATAGGTTAAGTATACAAAGACATCATTGCACTGGTATTGGGATAATTACTGGAGGATATCAGAAATGTGGTGGAGCAGGGGTTGTGCTAGGTTTCTTGCCATAGGGGGTCCCCAGGACCCTCAGGCCTGATATGGAAGGGTCCCCTGATAATTAAGGGGGTTACTTTCCAAGTGAAGCACAAGGGAATCTTGAAGGATTCCCCATAAGTAAAAGTCCAGCAATTCATGTTTATTTGCCAACTTAACATAACCAAGCAGTATGATATTCAATCCAGCAGTCTTAGGCCTTCTGCCTGTGCTTCCCAGGGGTCCCAGGACCTCCAGGATTGGATGCATGGGCAGGAGGCCAGGGCAAGAAACGTAGTGCAACCCCCATGGAGCATACTCCATTACCACATGAAAATTTGATGGTTACATTCCTACCACTACCATAACCCTAACAACTTTTTCCCAACTTCACTAGGCAACACTTATTCTTGTCCAAATCCCTCCCTCCTATATCCAAAAGTACAGCTCCTGTATGGAGGGTCTCCACAGAGGCCCTTCACCCATCACAACACCTAGGGTATTATGATGGGTGATGCGAAGTCATGCAAATGGTAAGGCAGCAGATGGAAACATACTAAGAGGGGTAGTATCCTAAGCCTAGCATGGATGGGGTGTTTCTTTGCTTTTTGCTTACCAATCATCTGATTTTCACTTGCCAAACCACAGAAGTACTCACCACTGGTGAGTGAGAATTTTACAGACCAGCACTAACAAAAAAATTATCAACTGACTTCTTCATGTTGCTTCAATATTTGATAGATTAAACTGCAGATTAAATTCTCCATGCTTGGTATTACTTTTTCTGTCACTGCCTGTTATGCACCAAATATAAGAACTGGAATCAATTGGATAGATAAGAGTGATCATACAAGCTACAATAAACTCATCTAATTCCATGAAAAGTGACTTAAGGAGAAATTATCTGGCAAAAATGTCAGATAACATTTACTTCACCTCCATATCAGAAAATTTTACTTTGAATCTGTAGAGGAAGTATGTGTTGATTAAAATTCGATCAGTAAAACAACCTACAATAGATCATTTTAAAATCTTCTACCATATGGTCCACCATATGAAACAGTAACAGGAACAGGAAGATCCAAATTTATCCAACAAGTGGCATTTTTGTCAACAAAGGACTTACCATCTCAAAGCAACTTTTGGACAGTCTGTAAACATGCCAATTGGTACATGTAGACTAAACATGAGGTGGATCATTTTCCTGCCAGAGAAGATTTTTAACAAGCACTTTCAACTCATTTAAAATACCTCCCATCCTTAGGGACACTCATCCTTCACAGTCTCTGAAAAAGTTCATATAATCATTACTTAGCATATGTGGAAGTAGAGGGAGTGGAAATAAAACACCCTGAGGAACCTAATCATAGGCTCCCAAACTTCAGTTAAGGCTCAAAAAAAGGTAGCTCAAATGAAACTTAAGACTGAAACTTTCCTTCTAACAAGAAAAATAAAAGACACCAATTTAGCAATGAACCAGGAGTATATGAATCTTAGCCACAGTGGTGGAGGACATGTTACAGCACATTCAGATCCAAGGCAATATGCATTATGGATGAATTATGAGTGAATAAATGTGGGCAAAGAAAATTTTGACTCAAACTAAACTTAAAACATAAGCCTTGGCTGGATAGGCCTCCTATCATGAATCACATTACACAATGATGCTATTCAATCCAACAAGCTTGTAGTATGACTCAGATGAAAAGAATCATACTTCTTTGCAAGCCAATGTCTCACACTTGGTAGCAGCTGGAGAATTTCAGTCTAAAACTTCATCTTATAGATCTCACAGTTCTTATTTTTTTCCTGAGGGTGAATGGGTAGTCAATGACAACCATAAAGGTGATAGAGGTAATTACTACTCACAACAGATCCAGTCAGCTTCTTCAATGCAACTCTCTTCTTCAGAGGAACCATTTTGCTGGGCTGTACCAACTGACGACGAGCAGTTGAGTGTTTGAATCCTTTGTGCAAGTTCTGCTTCAGTACATCAGCAAAGAGCATCTTCTTTGTGCTGGCAACCTTCTTACTTACTCGACCTAAAAGTTGAGGGGGAAAATGTATTGCTGATGTAAAAATCTAAGAAATATATAGCATTTTATAGGACTCTGGTGCACTTACCTGACTTCACACCTGACTTGACAATAGACAACATCCCTTTCTTTGCTGTACTCTTTTTGACTGTTGATTTCTTGTGACTCTTTGGGGTTTTTGATGCTTTTTTAACAGTTGAATTTAGGAGAATTGAAGTGCCTGCATCATCATGGGCTGCGAGTATTCCATGATCACTGCTTTTCTGCACAGGAGTAGATTTCTTACTCTTAAAAGGAAGGGAATTCTCAGTTGTCACTGATGTGACTATCCAAGAACTACGTTTTGGTACAGAGACAGATTTCCTTGCACTTCCAACAGGTACAGACATATGCTTCCTTGAACTTTTTGCTAAAACAGGTACAGATTTGCGTTTCCTTGAACTTTTTGTTCCAATGGATGCTTGACTCTTTGAAGTAGATAATCCAGAGTGACGTGCAGGTGTTTTGGAGAAGGAGCGAGAGGATGCTGACACACGCCTCTTAGGGGATGGACTATCTTCTGGACCACTCAAGGATGGTGTAAGAGACTCTTTCTTTGTCTTAGTGCTTGATGGAGTTCCCTCATCAGTGGCTGCAAGTGTAGATATTCTACTCTTCTTGGAGCTGGATAATCCAGAGCTATGTGCAGGTGTTTTGGAGAAGGAGCGAGAGGATGCTGACACACGCCTCTTAGGGGATGGACTATCTTCTGGACCACTCAAGGATGGTGTAAGAGACTCTTTCTTTGTCTTAGTGCTTGATGGAGTTCCCTCATCAGTGGCTGCAAGTGTAGATATTCTACTCTTCTTGGAGCTGGATAATCCAGAGCTATGTGCAGGTGTTTTGGAGAAGGAGCGAGAGGATGCAGACATGCGCCTTGTAGGAGATGGACTACCTGAACCTCCTGAAGTTGGAGGAAGAGGCTGATTCTTCATCTTGGCATTTGCTGGTGTCCCCTCACCAGTAATTGATGCTTTTGAAGTAGCTGTAACAACTTTCTTCACTGATTTGGAAGTGGATGCAGTCATTGATGGCAATGCCTGCTTCCTTGGAGAATGGGATATGGATGAAGGAAGTGGAATTAGAGGGGTTGGGAGTAATTCAGAGGTGTCAAAAGAAGATGACAATGAAAGTTTTTTGGCAGATCGTGGAAGGGGTATAAGAGGTGATGGTAGATGTTCAGGGGTTTTTGCAACTTCTCTACTGAGAGGTTCTTCTGAAGGCATCAATGAAGGTACATTGGTCTTCTTTTTGCTGGCACTCAATGTCTTATCAAGGGCAGATTTCACAGCAGGGACTGAGGGGCTTGTAGTACCTAATGAATCCCCTGTCTCAATTGGGCTTCCTCTGACTTTTGGAGACTTTGTCATGGTCCCACTTGATGTAGGGGACTGCATCTTGGCAGTTCTTGGAAGCTGTGGACTTAACTTTGTACTTTTTCCTGTTACAGTACTTCCTGGCTCTCCAACTGAAGTAAACTTCTCAGATTGAGCTGTAGCATTTGATGGGGTGGTACTCTTCTGTTCAGGTGTCATTCCTGAATTGACTAGAGATTTTCCAAGGGTGGAGGACTTCAAATTCTTCTGAAATCGAGGACTTCGCAATCGCTGAGAGGAAACCATTTTTGAGCCATTCATAGACATAGGTGGACTTCCTGTTTTTACCATAATGGGTTTTGGGATCTTGCTTGTAGCTGCAAGCAACTCCTTTCCAGTTGTGAATGATGCATTCACCTCTGCCAGCTCTGCTCGTTTCAGAGGCATCACACATGACTGTTCAGATGGAGTGGATACGGATGCTTTAAGGGCAGCAGCTGTTTTCTGCTGTAATCCAGCCAATGGTGATACAGTAGAAACTCTTTTCATACTCCTGGCAAGGCCTGGCTTTGGCTTATCACTGCCATTCTGCCCATAGAAGCACTTAACATTCTGCTTCCCAGGCACACTCGAAGATAACAATGAAGACCAACCTTGTCTGAATTTTTCCCTGATACCTGAAATGAAGCCCAAGCAATATTGAGTCAGCTTGTGTATAAATATCTCAAAGACAAGCACTTTGAACACATTCCAAGGACAACTTAAAATCATCAGCAAAATTCATCAATAAAAACAAGAAGCTAAAATTTGCAGATAGATCAAGGATGGCAGTGCCTGATAGGGTGGGTAATTGGTGGAAGGTTAGGGAACAAAACCACCTTACTTAAGATTTATAAAAGGTGCTAAAGGAAACCAGAAGCTCCACTGCATGGGCCTGAAAATTGCAAAAACTCATCTTGAAGCTGCTCATGACTTGACACTTGTGTACAAATTTGAGCTTCATATAAGCTAATGCAGTGAATTGGAAAAATATAAAGAGACACTTGTGTACAAATTTGAGCTTCATATAAGCTAATGCAGTGAATTGGAAAAATATAAAGAGAAACAACACTTTTTTTTTTAGATAATTGAATGGGTACATACCTCCTTCTCCACCTGATGCTGGTGTTGTCTCTTGTCCTTGTATATGAATGGCTTGGGAACCCTTCATGGGTGTTGGGGTCAACCTCAGAGGTGATGATCCCTACATGATAAAAAGAAAGAAAGTATGGTATGGGTATGAAAAAATAAAGTGAGTAAGATTGCAAAACAAGCCTCTAAGGTTGCCCACTCACTGAAACTATACATAAAAATCTCATGCTAGGAAATAGAATAGATAGGGGGGAAGCTCACTTGACAAGGACTTGACTGTGCACTGGCACCATGAAGAGGCTTTGCACCACGCTTCACAGGAACAGAAGGAGGCAGAGCTTGATCAAACTGTTCTGGACTTAGCTCTGGTCCGAAGGAGACCGATTTTCTACTCTGTTGAATTAGAGTTGAAGCTCGGGAAATCCCATTTTCCATCACTCCTCCTTTGGATCTCTTCATCTAAAATGTAGATACAAGTCCTTCCTCAACATCTTCGATTGCAATGAAAGCCATAGCCACTTAGCCCAAAAAGCTTATCTAATTAGGTAGATGATAGACCTAGACATTTCTTTAACACAAGCAGCAAGTGTTCTGAAATATGTGTAGTGAAATTTACAGTTTTCTACTGAGGTATTTGAGCATTGAACAGGAACAGCTACTTGCAATGAGCAAGTAGCTTTAGCAAGGAAATTTAAGAGGCAAAAAATGTATTTTTCCATGCACCCACAAATGAAAACATAATCTGAGCTTTCTGAAAGTTGAACACATGCTAAATTATATTACCTTATAAGCAATAATAACATGATGGCATTTGCACAGAAAATTTCAATTGGCAAATATTTTTGAGAGAAACTGTGATATAAGTGTTCTCCTCATTAGGCCAATGCTGGAATTGCCCAGGCCCAATAGGTAAACCCAAGTTCATTTTAAATATACAAGAATGGATCATAGTTTTGGCAGAAGAAAAACCTTCAATAATTATGGATATATGCAAAAATATTCAGCAGGTTCAAAGTTGACTGAGTTTCCAGAACCTCAACTATTAACTCAAATCCAACCAGGAGGTTGGATTTCACATGCATGTTTCACATCAACTAAATAATTGTGCTGGTATCCAAATTCACCTGTTACAGTACAGAGAAGCAGGTGAGACAGTCAACAAAAAGACCATGAAGCCTTCTCAAGACCTTCAAACTCAAACAAGTATAATGATTACAAATTTGTTTCTTCACAAGGTTTCTGTAAAATAAAAATTTTTGTGGAACCTGTTAACATGACTGGGAATTTATGGACCAAAACTTGTTTGCAATATCTATTATCACATTATAATCAGTACTTACAGTAGAAAGCCTGCTTCCTTCAGGATATGTCCATCTGAATGAGCGACCCCCAATGGTTATGGTGTCACCATCATATAAATCCCTCTTGCTACGCACTATTTCTCCATTTAGCAGTGTTGGATGGGCAGCACTGAGATTCTCCAGCACACCCTGAAATACAGATCATGAATATAGCTTATATCTGCATGTACAAAAGAATTAAAATAAATTAAGGCAAAGCATAAGAGGCTGGTTCCAACCAGAGTAACAATAGCTGTTTACCTCTACCATTTCATTCCTGAATTTAAAATATATAAATGCTGTAAAAACAAATTTTTATTATTCAACTATTCACAATGAAACATCTTTAACCACAAAATTACAATTTCTAAAAGTGGTCACAGGGACTCAGAAGTCCTGCTGGGTCTTGAGGTCATGCATTCCTATATAGCCCTGCAAAACATGTGAAAAAGTAGGACTCCTGAGTCCCTACCATTGGAGTCAACATTTTTCCTGGATTCTACAAGCTCCAGCTCCAAGTCAAAAATCTGTTTTGCATTAGGACCAGATTTATAATAGTCCTGTGCTACAACAATGATGGTATAGATTGTATCCTGAATCCTTGGGCAGGCCATAGACAAAGACTCAACAGGTGATGGTGTCCATCAGATAAGTGTCACTGCAGATAGTGATAAATGGGATTGAGTATCTGTCAAGGGGGAGCTTGTCAACTTCTGGTGCTCCTTTTTAAGACTGCCCTCAAATCCCACAACCCTGAAACTTCTGCAAATTCCACAATCCTTTGTTCCTTTGAGGGATAATGAAATAAGGCTTCCTTCAATCAACTCAGTAAACAGGAGCTAACCTGCTTTGATGCAGTCTTCCATGTGGCAGGAGATAGCACTGCACAAGGGGATTCAGGATACTGACTATACTAATAGTGGTGGCATTACTGAACACTTCTGGTCATAATGAGAAATTTCAAGATGATATCACTTATAAACATTCTTTAACTCCTATATGAACTCACCAATCCCTGATTTGTGAAATCCACCTTGCACTGCACATTGGACACATCCTTCCTCTGAATCCTGACATCATTAGTTTCATCCAGTCCAAAAGTTACTGGCTTCTGCCCAAGACAAATTGGCGTTCCTAAGGTGCCACTCACACTAACTACTGTGAGATGTGCAGCTGGCATTTTCTTCCTGAATCCTTCAGGTCTTGCTATCAAATTCACATGACTTACCTGAAAATTACTGACATAATAGCAGGTTAAACAATATAGTGAAAATTGACTGACTTTTTAGCTTCAGATTTCCTAAACCTACCACTCCTAGAAAACCATTAAAAAAAAAAAACTTATAACAAACTCCATGATTCACATTGAATATCAATACAGGTCAACGCCAATTTTGTGACACACTGTAGGGTTTGTAGAATTCACTGTAGGGTTGTTCACAATAATAACCACCCCTAGTGCCAAATATACATTGTTATTCTTAATAGAACAATACAAGAAAATATCAATCATCAAAGTCATTCTTTGATATTACCTCCTTCCATTTCCAGGCTAGAGGTGAAGAAAGCCTTTCAAGCCAAGTTATTGGCTGTTAGAATACTCTATGAAACTCATGGATGATAGCTGAACAGTGACAGCTACTTTTAAGACTAGCTTCAATAGTGCAAAATAAAAGGTGCCTCTTGATTTATTACAATGGGTAAATGTTATTTTCAAAGGCATCTGTCAGTGCTACTGCCTTGATACCCTCTTCCCCCATCAAATAAAGATGCTTTGATTATCTGGATGGTCAACTGCAGAAAGAAGTTAAAGAGACAGAGAAGGAGGAAGAGGGAGAAGTGGATCCATAGGACATGAGAATACAGTTACTTGGCAAATGACTTTGTAGCTCTAGCTACAAATTAGTTACTAGCTTTAGCTTTATGCATGTATTTCTATGATGCACATAACAAGGCATGGGTATGCCTATGCATGAAGTGATGTTAATCCTATGAATACCACATTAATGGTTACAAGAGTTCATTTGCAAATCACTCCAAGGTACATCAGCACCAAATACTACAACACCTAGTCTTGGCCCAAACACATCAATTACATATGGCTACATGTATGCCTGTTACATATAATGCTAACGTAAGTACGCGAAAGTCAACCCGTGCACGAATTTGGACGGAATTCCGGTTCACTTCACAGACCTCGCCATTATAATGACATACTGCCCTCTGTGTCTTCGTCTTCGAATCCATGTTTTAAGCGAAGCTTAAAATGTGTCTCACAGAGAATGCATCGTTGTTAATCCTTATAGTCAACCGGAAACGAGCTCCTTAAATTACATCATTCTTACTT